GAAGGTCAGAATTCAGACCACCAACAGTGTTCAACAGGCAAGTATTATCCTAAAACTACAGAACAGAAGATTGGCTTTTTAATTCAGTGTGCACTGGTTAACTAATGAATTGACTGAAATAATTCATGTTTTCACACAACTGAGCTTTATTGGATATAAGTAAAGCAACACTCTTCCTTGGGAGAAAATTCAGCAGTTGACCCCATGATTATAAAACATCCTTAACAGAAAGGTCTTAGCAGAGGAAGAAAAAACTTTTAGGAACTAAAATTCTCAGGTTAGAGATCTGTTAATTCCAATAGAAATGTGTCCACAAAAGTACATCAAACAATTAACCTCTCTTTTTTATTTTCAAGGGTCTAACACAGTGGTTCTCAACCTTCCTAATGCCGCGACCCTTTAATACAGTTCCTCATGTTGTGGCGACCCCCAATTTCATTGTTACAAATTGAACATAATTAAAGCACAGTCATTAATCACAAAAACAATACGTAATTATATATGTGTTTTCCGATGGTCTTAGGCAACCCCTGTGAAAGGGTCCTTCGACCCCCAAAGGGGTCGCGACCCACAGGTTGAGAACTGCTAGTCTAACATACTGCACAGATTTGATTTAGGGATTTTTAAAAATGAGTGTCTGGATGAATTTTTTGATGAATGATATGTTCAAATAAAGGCATACAAAATAGATATGTATAAAATATTTTGAAGCAGAAAACTGTCATAACGGATAAAGCAACATAAATAAAATATATCACACTGTTCCATTGACTGTTGAATTTTTAAGATCTTACAAACATTTCAGAAATTGAAATATTTAAATAAAGAAAGAACAGGAAAAGAATATTTTGGGGCTTGTGACAAATCCATTATTAGAGTTGTAACAGACCTGTTTAAAATATTAGCTTAAATATATCTTTCCCAAATTTGGGTCATAAATTAATTTGAACTTTGCCATGTTTTTTTGTTTGTTTGTTTTTTTGTTAATTCTTTTTTTATCATTCTTTTTTTTTAATCTATTTTTTATTGATTAAGATATATGTGTCCTTATCCCCACGTTGCCCCCTACCCCTCCCTACACCCCCTGCTCATGCCCTCACCCCCCCGTTGTCCGGTCCATTGGTTAGGCCTATATGTTTGCATATAAGTCCTTTGGTTGATCTTTCCCCCTTACCCCCACCCTCCCCTACCTTCCTCCAAGGCCCGACAGTCCAATCAATGCCTCTCCGTCTCTGGATCTGTCCTTGTTCATCAGTTTATGTTGTTCATTATATTCCACAAATGAGTGAGATCATGTGGTATTTATCCGCTCTCCAGTTCCATCCATGCTGTGGCAAATGGTAAGAGTTCCTTTTTCTTCTTCCTCTTCTTAAAGAATACCTTTCAGCATTTCATATAATGCTGGTTTGGTGGTGATGAACTCCTTTAACTTTTTCTTATCTGTGAAGCTCTTTATCTGACCTTCAATTCTGAATGATAGCTTTGTTGGATAAAGTAATCTTGGTTGTAGGTTCTTGGTATTCATCACTTTGAATATTTCTTGCCACTCCCTTCTGACCTGCAAAGTTTCTATTGAGAAATCAGCTGACAGTCTTATGGGTACTCCCTTGTAGGTAACTGAGTTTCTTTCTCTTGCTGCTTTTAAGATTCTCTCTTTAGCTTTTGCTCTTGGCATTTTAATTATGATGTGTCTTGATGTGGTCCTCTTTGGATTCCTTTTGTTTGGGGTTCTCTGCGCTTCCTGGACTTGTAAGTCTATTTCTTTGACCAGGTAGGGGAAGTTTTCTGTCATTATTTCTTCAAATAGGTTTTCAATATCTTGCCCTCTCTCTTCTTCTGGTACCCCTATAATTCTTATGTTGGTATGCTTGAAGTTGTCCCAGAGGCTCCTTACACTTTCATCATATTTTTGGAATCTTTTTTCTTTTTCGGTTGGGTATTTTCAAATCTTTGACTTGATTCTTAGGATCCTCTTGTCTGCTGTTGGATCTCTGTATATTATTCTTTATGTCAGTCAGTGTATGCTTAATTTCTAGTTGGTCTTTTTTCATATCCTCCAGGGTCTCACTAAATTTATCGGCGGTTTCCATAAAATTCTTGAAAAACCTTATAAACGTGGTTTTGAACTCTATATCCAGTCGTTTGCTTTCCTCCATTTCTGTCATTTGTAACCTGTTTCTTTGTCTCTGCATTTTTTATGCTTCCCTGTGTTGGTAGAGTGGTTTTGTGTGCTAGGTGTCCTGTAGGGCCCAGTGGCTCAGCCTCCCCAGTTACCTGAGGTGGACACTCTTGGTGCACCCCCTTGTGGGCTTTGTGCACAGTCTTGTTGTAGTTATGCCTTGATTGTTGTAGGATCACTGGGAGGAATTGGCCTCCAGGCCAATTGGCAGTGAGAATCAGCTGTGTCTGCAGTGGGAGAACTTCTGTGCTGAAGACACCCTTCTGGGGCAAGACTTGCTTCAGTGGGGCTTTGGTGCTCACTGAGTCTGCCCCCTGAGTGTGTCCCTTATGGATCTGAGGAGTTGTAATCTGGATGGTCCCCCTCTAAGCACTGGGTACACTCGCTCTTGGATCTAAGGAGGTGCTAATTTAGCCTCTGCCTGAGGTTACCCAGCAGGAGCTACGAAGAGAACTACAGATTCCCCTTCCTTTTTTGGAGTTTGGAGGTGCCCTGATGAGGCCCAGCTGTGAAGCAATGCAAGCTGCTGTGGGGCCTTGGGCCTTCTCTTGGAAGTTCTGGGTCTGTCTGGCCCAGCTGCAATTTGTTAGGTAATTTTCAGGTTGCAAAGGGCCAGGGCATTCATATGCAAAAGCCTCTGCTGCAGCCTGGGTGGGGCGGGGTCTCAGGGAATCAAAGGGCAGAGCAAGCAGTTATGGCTGGTCCTCAGCCCTGACCGAAGGGGCCGTGCGTCTCAGTGTCCCGATAATTGCTGCAAGCACCTCTGAGGAAAAGCCGCCCTCCAGTTCAGAGTTCTGCCTGCTGCCAGACAGTCTAGTTTCTCCCCGTATGAGTCCTGGGTCCCCAGAGACTTCCCGGAACTGGAGTTCAGAACAGTCGGGAGCTTGTGACTCCCTCCTGATTCAAAAAGACAGCCGTGTCCTTAGGTACCAGCCCCTTTCCGTGTGCGCGCGCGCGCGCCTGCTCGAGCCTCCGTACCTCTGCACTTTACTTCTGCAGCTCCTCTGAGTCTCAGTGTGCTTTTCTCTTTTCTTCTAGTTGTAGAATTTACACTCAGCAAGCCTTCCTGTATTTCTGGATGATGTCCGTTTTGTCTTTTCGTTGTATTTTTGAAGTTGTTGTGGGAGGCAGCAATTTCCTGGTGTTTACCTATGCCGCCATCTTAGTTTCTCCTTTTTGTTAATTCTTAACCGAGGATATTTTTCCAGTGATTTTTAGAGAGAGAGTGGAAGTGAGGGGAAGACATAGAGAAAACATCAGTATGAGAGACACATCGATTGGTTGCCTCCTGCATGTGCTGACCAGGGCCAAGGATTAAGCCTGCAACCAAGGTACAGGCCCTTGACCAGAATCGAACCTGCAACCCTTCAGACCTTGGGCTGATGCTTTCCACTGAGCAAACCAGCTAGAGCTGCCATAGTTTTTAGGCTGTTTTGAACACCACCATCAGAGTAAACCTCCTAAAATAGCCTTTTTATCTTAACCTGCTGGTCAACTGCTAAGTGGCTTCTTTTTCTCTCCAGACATGGTGTCAGTCCCTAGTCCTTCCTGGCAAGATCTGGTTCTTCTATCTTTCAAATCTTGTCCACGCGCCCTTCCACTGTGAGCCTCCTCCATCAAACTTATCTTCTCACCCTGCATGGCCCTGTCTTTCACGTTGCCGCCATTGCCGCTTACCTCTTTTCTGTCGTTATTGACCTGTTCGCTTCCACCCTCTTCTCCAAATATCTGGATAGGTAGCAACATAATCATACTCACTGTAGATTGCTTTCATCGCCTTTAAATATTCCTCATGGATTTCATATTTCTATGCAATTTTGTTAGTAACATACTTCTGTCTAAAAAACTCCAGCCATCTTAGAGAAATAGAAGGTTCTTAAGGATATGGCAGCTGTGCCTGTTATTGTCTGTGTCTCTGGGGCAGCCACCGCTACAGCTGACAGTCCTCCCACTTGCATTTCCTTGGAGCGCTCTTCTTTCATTGTTTCTGTCTCTGCTGCTTTATCCCAGTCGTTGTTTTTATTTTTTAATTCCTTTCAACTTTTCCATGGAAAAAGATCATTGTATCCTGGAGATCTAGAACTCATTCCTACTGAGGTAAAATGACTGATAATTTATGGAAATACACCCACTGAGTGCTCTGTATTGTGTCAAGGGCTAAGGGTGTACAATGAAATCATGACACTCGCCATGGCATTTAAGTATAAAGCAGAGGTGACTACCAGCTTTAGGACAGGAGGCATTTAAATTCCCCAAATCTGGTTCATGTAGTGGTATAAATAATGATTTCTAGCTTACACTTTCTTTTTTTTTTTAAATATATTTTATTGATTTTTTACAGAGAGGAAGGGAGAGGGATAGAGAGCCAGAAACATCGATGAGAGAGAAACATTGATCAGCTGCCTCCTGCACACTCCCCACTGGGGATGTACCCACAACCAAGGTACATGCCCTTGACCGGAATCAAACCTGGGACCCTTGAGTCTACAGGCTGATGCTCTATCCACTGAGCCAAACCGGTTAGGGCTAGCTTACACTTTCTTATTGTAGCTACTTAATGTTGCATGATCTCCTGTGTTTAATTAAAGGAAATTTAAAAATACTAAAATATATTAAACAGATTTTTCTGTTTTTATCAATCTTCTCATCACTATAAATAAGCTGTATCCTATTTCAGTCATAAGTTCAATATTAAAAGCACTTAAAGCATATTTTTTTCAAATAACTTCTGTTCTATTGAAATAGTTTTCTCAAAAACTATTGATTTAACCTCAAAAATATGATACTGTTCCCTTATCAGTTATTATGCACTTGTTTTCAGCATGTTATCTGCACAGGGTTGTGGTGCAAGGTGGAAGGTGAGAAAGAATGCAGAACCAAGCTGGATCCCCCGATGGATGGAACTGACTGTGACACTGGTAAGGTAAGTCATTGGTGTTGCCTGGAGTTAATTAGAATATAATCTTCTCCTGCCAGTTACATGTGTGTCCATTTTAACACTAGTGGAATATTTTATACATATATATATATATATATATGTTAGCATTTCATCTATTTTTCATTTTAACTTTTCATATTTTTTTAAATCCATGATTATTTTGTTAATATCAATGCAATTATTTTTATTGTTGTTGATTATGAGAATGTTGAGAGCCAGATAGATATATGTATTACCTTGCCCAAAAAAAAAGAATTCAAAAGAATTCACTTTTCTACTAGCTATAACAATAGTAAGAAATAACAATAATAAATAATAGCATACATATAAAACTTCTCAGAAGTGATGAATACTTTCAGGTGTAAAATATTGTCTCAGGAGAGCCACTGTATATAATTTTTCCTTGTCATTTTAAGCATCATAAATGAAATACTCTATTTGACATTTTGGGAATTAGTAAACATTTGGCTGTATAAGTTGTTTAACCTACTATGTTTTATAAGGCTATAGAGATTTATTAGTATATATTTCCAAATCAAAATAATTGTTGTTGAAAATTTAATTTTCTTTTGAAGAAACTGAAGGAGGTAGATCCCACATAAATTTATAATTACGGTAAATTTAGTCAAAAGATAGTTCAATAGCTGACATAGTTTTTAGATTTTTATTCTATGAAGGGAAAGTGGAATGCTTATCACTTTATTCTAGATAAAAGATCAGAAACCTTGCCTCTGAAGAACATGAATTTTTTTATTACATTTGAAAAGAAACAACAAAGATTACTTGGGGTGAATACTTAGTGAAAAAATTAAGTTATGTAGAGTGCTACTTTAAAAACACATCCATTTGAAAAATTGATAGAATGGAAATCTAGCAATTCCCTTTCTAGAATTTTGCCTAAGGAAATGCTTACACATGTGCACAAAGTTGGTATGTGGGTGTGTACACAAACACACACACAGATGTTTATGTAAATGCAATTTGCAATGGTGAGAAATGAGAAACAACAAAAATATTTATCAGGAGCAGAATAGTTACAGTGTAGCTGTTAAAAGAATGAAGTAGTCATATTTGTTCTAACATGAAAATATCTGCAAGACACAGTGGTTAGGATATAGGCATGTCAGAAAAATTGATACTTTATTATGCTGTTTGAGATTTAAGAAAAAAACTTGTATACAGATGTAAATACACATCACATAGTATATATATTTAAATTATATGTATATAATTTGAAAATATAAACTTCAAACTGTAATTAGTAGTTAATTCTTGGGAGAGAAGTGGAATTGATGGATGGGAATAAAGCAACAGGAGGTGAAGGTGAATATAACTTTTCTCCAGACATTTCTGGATTGTTTGCAATAAGCACGTAGTCATTTATTACTTCTATGATTTCTTTAGTTAAAAGCAAAGAAAAATGTACAATTTGTTTAGGTCCCAGATATCTTTAAAAAGACTAGAAATATTTTAATAATTTATTTTAATAAGAAAATATTTTAATAAGAAAATGGTTTCTTTAAAGGGAACTTTTGTGAAGTATCAGTCAGTTGTTCACATACTGTGCCAAATCTTTTCCTATGAGCTTATATGGAGAGTCAGAATTTGGATTTGTTTTATTTTTTAAATTATACACAAAAGTGCAATAATGTGTGTGTATTAGGCAAGCCTTATGGTGTTGTGCTGAGTAATTTATTGCTTGAATCATAAAACTATGCACCAGCAATACTTTTCATTATCCCTGAAACACAAAAACACTAATAAACAAAGATAACCAAATACTCTGCCATATTTCTTCAAACATCATAGAACCCATTCCCCTTAGTTTCTCTTTAGCAATATAAAAGCTTTTTATAATCCGGTGTCTAAATGGTTTTCTACTATTATTTTTCTCCTGATATTTATGAGAATAATTTGCGTTCTCAAGGTCTCTAAAATAAACTTATTCTTCCAACTCCTCAAAAGTAAAATGTTTTATTTCCCCGTGATTGCACTAATGATACGCTTTTAGTGGTGCTGGTGTAATACTTTGTCTATTGAAGTAACTAATGAACTTCTCGGTTCCTCAGGCCATGTGTTTCAGCTGTTGTAGGAGCCACCATGAAGATAGCTTCCAAGGTTCTGCAGTTGAGTGCTGTAGTGCTAAAATACTTGAATGCTTGCAATCTCGCACTAAACACTATAGCTCAATACATTGCAAACCAAGAAACAGTTATGATGACACTCTAGTGATGTTAATCTAGCTGTATAACTAGTTACCTACAAATACATAATTGAGGAGGCGCCTACAAAATTTTATGATTCAAAATGGTTGTGAGTATAGGGATTTATGCACTATTTATACACAGCATTTTCCAAATTTAAAATAGCCCGTTTCCTTTCTTCTTTTCTCTTAAATAATACTATCATCTGTATTTACATTTTTATAGAACAGAGGTTAAAGGGTTGATAAATGATTTGGTAAGAAATAAGAAATATATGGTTTTTTACTTCCAATATTTGCTAGGCATTGGGGGAGGGGAAAGCAAAATATTATACCAATTTACGAAAATTTTAGATTATTTTGAAGAATTCTACTTAATACATCCTCCTTATATACTTTTTAAAATTGAGATTCTTGAAATTACCATGGTCATTCTTTTTTTTTCTTAATATATTTTTTATTGATTAAGATAATACATATGTGTCCTTATCCCCACATTATCCCCTACCCCCCGCTCATGCCCTCACCACCCCCCGTTGTCCATGTCCATTGGTTAGGCCTATATGCTTGCATATAAGTCCTTTGGCCGATCTCTCCCCCTTACCCTCACCCTCCCCCACCTTCCCTCCAAGGCCCGACAGTCCAATCAATGCCCCTCTGTCTCTGGATCAGTCCTTGTTCATTAGTGTATGTTTCTTTTTTTTTTTATTGTCTAAAGTTTTACATATGTCTCCTTTTTCCCCAATTGACACCCCCCCACCCCCAACCATGGTCATACTTGGTGAAAAAAAAAAGAAAACGGTAATACCCTTATAATAACAAATTTGTGTATGTACTGAGTTTGTTGCCTTCCTTCCTCCTCTCCTTTCCTCTTATCCAATCATGTGTGTATGAGAAGATTTGATTAGAAAACAGTATTTCCTTTGACATCTTCCTGAACCTCTTCTCATCCGCTGTTTTCATGAGCTTCCTGGACGTATCTGCATAGAAATTTGAGAGAATAGAAATATAGTCAATATTTTAGGTCGTGTACCATCCCAGAAAGAATCTATAGTCCATTCTCTTAATATTTTCATAAATCAAACTGAATCAGTAGATAAAACAAATTTTGACCTTTTTTTTTTAGACCAGGTGTAATATCGTTTTTGAGGCTAAAAAATACAAATGAAACAAAATATGCTGCTAGAAAATTTATTAAAAAACATAATTAGGGTCATTTTACATTCAAACTCAATATATTGTATAATAATTTAAAGGAAACATTTAACGCTTGCCTCACATTGAGGTACAGCTCCACCTACAAGACACAAAAGCAGGTTCTCCACAGTCTTACTCCGAAATATGCTTATTTGCAAGGTGATGCACTTTAAGTATTATGTTTCTTTAAATTTCTCTGATTTCTGTATGCAAATTTGGCTTACATATCTGTTTCCATGTCTCTTCATCTGCCCAATTTGGTCTAGTTGAAATGACATACAAGTCTAGATCCTGGTCTTTCCCAGAATATTTTTAGTCAGCTGTGAACTCTAGACCATCCTTTTAATGTCAGCTTGCTGCTAACTGGGCAAGGAGCTATGACATTCACTCTGGGGAAAATAAACACCTTTCAGGTAGGTCAAAACAATTTGACCAATTGAAGTTTAACAGCTTTCTCCGCAGATCCACCACCCCCCAAAACACACACACACATGAATGACATAACATTAAAACCATTAAGTTTGGTCCTTAAAACCATTAAGTTGTTTAAATGTTTTCACAGGGTCTGTTTTTCCCCTCTTTTGAAATTTTTAGACTTGAATCTTCATCCAAAATCTCAGTTTCTTTAATGACAGACTTAGCATATCAATACATATGAGTTGTTGAGATTTATTTTTTTAAGCCTGGATTTAAAATTTCTTGACTTTAAAAGTGAGTGAATTTAAAACTTGACATGATTAGAGAAAATTTGCAGGAACTAATTATTTTATTACATAGAAAAGCGTTAACTGGGCTCAAACAAAATAATGTAGCATAGTTTCTAAGTTTTCTAAAGACAGAATTTAAAGACTTATTCTCAAAATAAATTTTAAAGAGGGGGGTTGGGTGCGGGCTAGAAGGGGTCAATGGGAAAAATAGGAACACCTGTAATACTTTCAGCAACAAAGATAAATTTTAAAAAATTAAAAATAAATTTTAAAAGAAACATAGATCAATGAAGAGCAGAAATGAATAGAATTTTGGTAAGGTTTCTGGAAACTTATTAATAACATTAATATGATAAACATGCAACTTATTTTTGTTATAGCTAACCTTTATTAAATCTTTAGTATGGGCTATGCATTACACTTAGCACTTTATTCATTCCCTGAAAAAAGTCTCTTAGATAAGTTTGACTATCATTCTCATTTTGAAATGGGAAAATTGAGAATCAGAGTGTTTCTTAATTTTTTCAAAATTCCTTATAAATCATGTTGCCCTTAGGTACAGAAAACTGTTTAGGGCTGAAAGGGTCAACTTGCTCAACCATTAATCTAAATTTTCCTGATCTTTACTTATTATTCTCAACATGAATAATAAGTTATTAATAATAATAATAATAATAGTAATAATTTAGTTAATTTTTACCTTGAACCTGTTTGCCATGACCACCACATATGTGATTTCCCTGGAATAAGTAGAAATTATAATAAGCTGTCTACCAAGTTCTGGCAGCCATTCCTTAGTGACACAGGAACAGCCTCTTTCACTGCTTTTGTTTCAAGTTCATGCAAAAGTAAATATAAAAGAAGGAGCACACTCTTTTTTTCTTTCACAGTTACCTTCCTCAGTAAATAGACACTAAATAAGTTACAGAAAAATGGAAATGGAATGACAGAATTTCAAAAAGTCTAATGGCCCAAGTTTTTCAAATAAACAGCTTTCAGAAAAAAACTTGCTATAATGTTAAGGCTTCAATTTGATGTGAACTCTTTCAACAAAAAGGGTGGTGGGGAGGCATACAGGAAAGTGCTAAAATAAATAATACTCATGTTTTAATTATAAGGAGAGTACCCTGAATCACTGATATTTCAAATAGAAATTGCTAAATTTGTTTAAATTCTGCTTCACTCTAGTTATAGGACACTGGTGTCTTATTTTCTTTCATCCTTTTATATGACTTTGCTTTTTCCGTTCATCACGTTTTAGTTATAAGTTTTTAGAGTGTGTTAGTTTTCCTTTTCTGGCCTGTGCAACCCCACGTTCCCTCTCCACCTTTCCCTGTCATAAGTACTGAATTCTCAGGGCTGCAGTACAAATGTCTGTGTGCTAGGTTTATTTTTTTTTTTAATACATTTTTATTGATTTTAGAGAGGAAGGGAGAGAAATATAGAAATATCATTGATGAAAGAGAATCATTGATTGGCTGCCTTCTGCATGCCCCCTACTGGGGATCGAGCTGACAACCCTGGCATGTGCCCTGACTGGGAATCACACCAGAGACTTCTTGGTCCATGGGTGACATTCAACCACTGAGCAACACTGGCTGGGCTGCGTGCTGTTTTCATGACAAGACTGTTCGATCTGACATGAGAACTCGGGGAACTGGACCGTTCTATTACCATCACATTAAGGAAGTGCCTACCGATTGGTGGTCTTTTTCAATTGCATGTGTTTGGGGATCCAGTAGACCTGATTTAATCGCAATCCCAGTGACTCTGTAGGCCAGTGAATGATTTTCCATTGTGCCCTGATTTGTTCACCTAAGACATAACTTTTGGAATAGTGGTGTAAGGCTGGAGAATGTACCAGCAGGACCTCAGCACCTGGACATGTGGCCGGAGAGTGGAGCGTGTGGAGCCCCTGCAGCCGAACCTGCAGTGCTGGGATCAGCAGTCGAGAGCGCAAGTGTCCTGGGTAAACGCAAAGTTCCTGGATTGGGGGAGGGCAGTTTTTCCTTTAATTCTGAAATGCAAAGGTTTTACTGACAAACCATGTTGGAAAGCAAAAGATGCTCCTCAAACCCTACTCCACTTTGGGAAACTGACAAGTCCCTCAAATTATTTATTTTGTGTAAAAACGCCCTTTAAAAATCTCATTTATATGTGGAATCTAAAGAGCAAAATAAACAAACAAAATAGAAACAGACTCAGAGGACAGAAAAGACTGATGGTTGCCGGAGGGGAGGGGAGTTGGGGAACTGGGTGAAAAAGATGAAGGGATTAAGAAATACAGATGGGTAGTCACAAAATAGTCACAGGGATGTACAGTGCACATAGGGAATTTAGTCAGTAATATTGTAATAACTATGTATGGTGAGGTGACAGGTGGGTACAGGAAATAGGAGAGGGACCACTTTGTAAAGTATAAGATTGTCTAAGCACTGTGCTGTAACACCTGAAACAATGCAAAATAATATTGAATGTCAACTGTAATTGAAAAAAGAAAAAGAATACAATAAGACCAATCCTTCTAAGAACAAATACTTAAACCCTACACAGGGTGGTTTCTTGATTAAATCAAATGAAATGTGTTAAATAAGGAGAAATGCATTAGCAAAAGAAAGTTGACACTTAAAGGAACCCTGAGAAGAGCTAGCAGAGGACAGGACATCAGAAAGGGAAGGCATGAGAACAAACTCAATGTCAGAGGAAGCGAAGCATGTGCACAGATAGGGAGCACGATGAGATCCTCTGCTCCAGCCCATCGTTTCTGCTGTGGTCCTGGAAAGTGTGAGAAAGCCATTTCAGTTTTATGCTAGCTCTTGGTGTGGGCTCAGTGCCCCAATTACTTCCCAAGCAATTTTAACAAATTTATCTGAACATGTTAGAAGCATCTTCTTAATAATTCTTATAAACAGACTCCTTCATGGGAATTGCAGGCTTTCTATTTTGCCCCAGCCTCAGCCCTTTCTCTTTAATTTTCATGGCAAGTTGGCTTTTATGTCTCATGTATTTTGGAAGCTAAGTTGATCAAGGATTGGAAAAAATACCTAGTTTTAAGAAAAACGTACATTTTCTACTATTATCAGTCATTTAATGAGTCCACATTTTCAAAAGTAGATTTAATATAAAGGGGTATACCTTATTAATATAATGCCTTTTAATTTAAAAAAAAAAAGAGTAGTTAACCTAAAAAAAAAAGATAAAATTGATTATTTGTACTATCTTTTCTAGGCTAGGTTCTGAAGCAAGGGATTGTAATGGTCCCAGAAAACAATACAGAATATGTGAGAATCCACCTTGTCCTGCAGGTTTGCCTGGATTCAGAGACTGGCAATGTCAGGCCTATAGTGTTAGAACTTCGTACTCAAAGCATGTACTTCAGTGGCAAGCTGTCATGGATGAAGGTATGACCAACCACATCGCTACATCTGGGTTTGCAAAGTGTTTATAACAGTGGTAAATGTCATTTTTACAGGTTATATTCTAGGTATTTCTACACTCTATTTTTTTCTGCCTTTACTGACCTAAAACAACCACAAGCACTGGCTAAAAATATATATTTAAAAAATATCTCTACACATCAATCAGATCAACTAAAATAAAAAAGAATGAAAATACCAAATGCTGGCGAGGATGAGGAGATGCTGTGTCTCCTCATTTGCCTGAGATTTGCTGGTAGTAATCTAAAACGGTCTGTACAGCTACTCTGAAAACCAGCACCACAGCTTCTTCAGTAACTAAAGATATGCTCATCATCTAATTTAGAAAATGCAGTCCTGTGCATTTATCCCAGAAGAATGACAATTTACAATCATAAAATGTCGTGTACACACATGTTTATAGCAGCTTTATTTCCAACAGCCAAAAACTGTAAACAACCAAAAAGGTTCTAAATAGTTGAATGCTTACACAAACTGAGGTACATGCAGACCATATTAAGCAGCAAATAAAAGGAACCAATTACTGATATGTGCAATGGCTTTTTTTACTTCAGAGCATTATGCTGATTGAAAAGAAAACAGCCTCAAAGGGTCACATACTGTATGTTTCCATTTATGTAACATTCTTGAAATGATAAAACTAGAGAGATAGGAAACACATAGGTTAGCTGTTGCCAGGAGTTAGAGATGGGAGTGGGGAGAGAAGGGATGTTACTGTAAAGGGATAGCATGAGGTAGAACATTGTGCTAATGAAAAATAGTTCAATGCGTTTTTGGTGGTGGTGGTTGTAAAAATCTACACGTGATAAAATGCCATATAATCACACACATACATGTACCAATGCCAATTTCCTGGGTTTGCTATTCTGTAGTTACCAGAGTGTAACCATGGGGAGAAACTGGGTGAAAGGTATATGGGATCTCTCTGTACTATGTTTTCAACTTCCTATAAACCTTTAATCATAATCAGAATTTTAAGAAAATTGTATGTTGCCTATTTCTTAAGAATGATAACTCTTGCCCATGGCCAGTGGACTGTGGGTTCGAGCTGCAGTACCAAAAGTGGTGGGGAATTCGCTGTCTTAATTGACCAACTTGCCCCTGGTCTCTCCTTTTGTGGTTTCCCCCTTCGTCAATTTGGACTGTGCTTTCCCTCATTTCAACAATGCTCTTGTTAGTAGCCTACACCCCATTGTTTATCAGGTTCAGTGCACCCATCTGACAAAAACCCTTCCCTCCATGTAGGCAACTGAACTGACAAGCACTAATGTGAACAGCTCAACAATCGAGCAAATTATTCCACTACCTCTTGGTGGGGAGTAGCCATCAGACAATTCCCTCCTCATTTTCTTGCTATCAAACCCCTAAGTCTAACCATCTTCCATCTGCTTTCTACCATGTAGCACAATCTTCATTCCTCCTTTCCAAAGCCGGTGGCTCCAGCTGTGTCCGTGATGTCATACCCGTGTTCCCTTTTCAGTGGGCTCATTGGTTACCCCTACTTTCTCTTATAGGATACTTCATCTGCTTTGTCTAAATTTTCACACTGGATTTTTAAACATATTTAGGACTCCTCCATGAAAACCTGCAGACCTCCCTCCAAGCTCATAGCCACCTCCAGCTGGTGCGCTTACACTCTCCCCTCCCCCACCTCCCCCCAATGGACACACTTCTCAAAAGAAAAGAGTTGTCTGTTTTCCAGCCCTCTGTTTCCTGTCTTTTCAATCTGGATTTCACCAGCGCAAATCACACTAATGTCATCAGGACTTTCATAGAAACTAGACTTAATAAATGGTTTCCAGTCCTTTTTATACTTGAACTCTCAAAGACATTCCAGTGGTTGGCTACCCTTTGGTTCTTGAAGCACTCATGTGCCTTTGTTTCCATGACATAACACCTCTATGTCTACGCTCTCGCTGGTGTTTTCTGACTAGCCCAGATGCTATTCTGTTTTCACTCTACATTTTCTTCTTAAGTGATCTCATCTATTCCCATGACTTCAAATATGCAAATAACTCATGGAGTTATGCCTTCAGCCAGATTTTTCTTTGAACTCCAAACTTGTTTGTACAAGTTCCTCCTTGATATTTCTACTTGGATATCTGTAAGTTTAAGACTAAATTCATGATTTTAACCCTTCCAATCCATGTCCATTCTGATCCTCTTTAGTGTCTCCTATCTCAGTGAAGGTTACCCCAGCTTTTCAGTTGCACGAGCCAGAGATGTGACTTTCTTATATTTTCATCTTCCTCCCCCACACATCCGATCCATCACCATGTCTTATCTATTTTACTTCCCTAATCTCTCTTCACTCCATCTCCACATTCACTGTTCTACACTTCAGTTTCCACAGTTTCTTGCTTGGATTACTCTAGTGGCTCCAAAGAAGTCTTTCTGTTTCCACTCTTCTTCTTCCTCAACTCACTCTTCATAGCGCAGCCCCCAGATCTTTATATAAAGTGCAGATTCGATCATTTGAATCTCTCCCTTAAAGCCTTTCAGAGGCTTCCCATAACTCTTCAGGTAAAAACCAAAGTACACAACATGACGTGCACAACAAGACGCTCCTTAATCTGCCCCCTGATATTGTCTCCTACTTTATCTAAAACCTCCATCCCTTTCACTTGTTTTGCTGCCTCAAACGTGTCCTGTTCTCTTTCACCACACAAGCTCCAAACATACTGTTTCTTCGGTTGAGAAGAAATTATGTCACAGTCCCTTCAATAACTGGTTATTCTGTCTTTCCAGATACTTAGACCAAAAACCTGGGAGTTGTTATATTTTCTTTTCTTTCTCTTTTACTATATATTCAAAATATCAGTAAGGTTGCATAAAATCCATCCAGAATCTCATCATTTTTCATCATCCAGAACTGCCACCCTGGTGCAAGCCACTATCTTTCACCCACATGATTGCGGTGGCCTTCTAACTTTATGCCTGTGCCCTTACCCTGCCTTCATTCTGGACATAGAAGCTAGAATGATATATTTAAAATGTCAGTCATATCATGTTATTCTTCCATTCAAAACCCTCTAGTATCTTCACAACTCACCAAGAGTGAAAGTTCGAAGTTCTTCTAAAAGCCTATAAGGACCTCCATTACCTGGCTTTTTGTTACCTTCTAGCTTCATCTCTACTGTTCCTTCATCACACCTTTCCACTCACACAGGCTCCCTTGTTCTTTCTTGAATAAGTTAGGTACCCTCCTGTCTTAATATCTTAGAGGTTGATGTTTTCTGTGCTGAACTACTTTCCCCAAATATCGGTCTGATCCCTTCTTTCACCCCCTGCAGGTCTTTTCTTAAATATTAACTCAGTGCCTTTCCTTTCTCTTCTTTATTCTGTTGTTCCCAGAGCTTATCATCTCCCATAATACTTTTATGTTTTGTCTGTTTATTATATGCCCCTCAATTAATAGTTGCAAGAGCAGGGCTTGTTGTCATATTTAGTGCTCGTTATATCTTTAGCACTGTAAATATACGTGAACAGAATAGGCACTGAATAAATATTAGGTGAATGACTGATGTGTCCAATGGGAATTTTCTAGTGGTCTCTCTTGGCCTCTCTTATCTTCTCACTAAACACTCTCCTTAGGATAAGCTTACTTACTAGGTTTTATTTATCATCTACATGTAAAGGAGCAAAAATATTAATCTCCAACCTAGATTGCTCTGTTCTGATCTCCTTAGCTACTTACCCATCTGTTGCATGGCATCTCAAAATCCCATTCGTGTCCAACTCAACATGCTCCAAGTTGAACACCCCCCCATTCCTTTTCTTTTTCAATCCACCTTGTGCTTTTCTGACTGGGCTCTCTCACAGAGAATGAAATCAGTATCTGCCTCATTACCACGCTAAGCCGGAATCCTTCCTCAGTCTCCATCCACCTGTAATCAGTCATCAAATCTCACTTGTCCAAGTCTTCCTCCTGCCAGCATCTTGTTCATAATTGCACCATCTCTAACCTGGATTCCCTAGCTTCTGCACAATCTCCCTGACATAGGCTCACCCCCTGCTAGCCCCTCCACCTCATTTCAGCCGGGTTGGCCTTTTGAAAGGAAGCATTGCCAAGCAGGTGCATTGCCAAGTAATACCCTCCCATGAGTTCCGCTGCCCTCAGGACCAATCTCAAACTTTATTACCTGGTCTACCAGGCCCACCCCTCTGACTTCTCTCATTCCCTTCTGCAGTCCCCAGCACAGTCAGGCTGGATTCCATTCCCTTCCTCATGTGCATCGTGCTCTCTTATTTCTGGGCCTGTAAAGGTGCTAATTTCTTGGCATAATCCCTTTCTCGAGCTTTGATCTCTCTCTCCCCATTTATTTACCTTGAAAACTTCAACTGATTTTTTTTTGGACTCGGCTCATGTCAAGTTTTCTAGAAAAAAGAATCCCCTTGTCCCTCCAAACTCAGTATGTGCCTCTTCCAAGTACCCCCCAAACACCCTGCTGTAGCAGATTTAATGTGTCTGTATTCTCTCTATTGTCTGTGCCTAGTGTACAGTCTGGCAATTATTAAGCTTTGATTAATATCTGCTGCATAAATTTGAAATACATAAACAAATACATTTTCATTGTAAAAATATAATCAAGATGACTATTCAGATCATGAAAGTGATTATCTGATCATTTGAGGGATAATTCTATCTCTGCCTCTAACTGACTGTACAATTTGGTAATATTAAATTCATTTGAAACCTGTTTACTCATATGTGAAATAAGAGATAGGAAAGAGGTTTCCTTCAGGTTAAAAAAAATCAGAATTGGGTGGGAGTTAGTTTGACATATTAAAGGTATTGGAAATCACAATTGAGTAAGTTCCTAACTTATAAAGTCACATTTATCACCAGAATAATCCATAACAGATAATTATATAATTAGCAGGTTAGCATTTTTTATAATGAATTTTTTACAAGTGAGGCATCAAGCAAACCCAGTAGTCTGTATGATGAATAGAATACACAACAATTAGTCTTCATATATTGTAGTGCAATGGAAGAAATTGAAATATATAATTTTGTTTAAAAGTCTAAGTCTTAATAACATATGACACCTTGAAATGCAAGTGGCTATTTCTGTTACTGTTATGGAGTACATGGATCTGTGGCTAGGAGAATTAAATGCAAGGCATCGGTGCCGCAGAACATTTATTTTTAGAGAAAAATGATGCATGGCTTTAACATTCAGGTGTTTTGCATACTCTGTGCTGAAATTTGGCTGATATCCATGTTTAATGCATATCTTGGAAAGGGTTTGTCTCCTAAATCAAGACAGAACCTGCCTGCCAAGTGCTGGCATGTTAAATGGATCACTAGAATGTCACAATCTCAAGGGTATACTCCAGGAAGGAAGATTGGTATCAAATGTTTATGTCATCTGTAAAGCTAAGGCAAGCACAGCCAATTGACAATATGTTGTAAAAGGAGAAATACAAAGATTTTTATCTGGAGTCTTGCTTGGAATGTGAGCGGAATTTTCTAGATTAACTCCTGTCAACATTATTCATATATCAGGTTTGCTCCTTTCTTTCATAAAAACCCAGAAAGAGAATTTTTTATATATATATATGTTCATTTTTTAAGTGTTACAATTACAGCAGCTGTTTTTAAGTCCAAAGATATGACACAGTAAGCAGCCACTGAATAAACATAACCTGCTTTGAGGTGTGAGAGCACACTGAAATGCTTTATTGTGGCTTATAATGGCATCCTAAAGGAAAATTTCAAAACCATGCACATTGAAGGCCTTGTTCCAACTCATCAAAATTGTTCAAAGCAGTATTCAGAAGCCACATGTGAAAACTGTTGGAAATGTTCAGTTCTGAAGGCTCATTTGACTGTCCGTCTTCCCTTTGCAAAGTGATACCCTGTTCCATGCCTCTGGCTGTTACTTGGTATTTATAGAACCCCATCCGCATCCTGGAACGTTACTGAAGACATACTCGAAGATCAGTGGCAGAGACTGTCAGCTATTTTCCATTCTATTTATATGAGCTTAATAAACAGTAAAGGGCCCGCCTGGTGTCAAGCCAATAGAGTAGTAATGTAGCATGGAATTTGCTGTAAAGTTTCAGATTTGGATAATCCTACTACTGGTGTTACCAAGTACTACAGCTCCTCTGTACCATGCTTAGAAATAGAAACAGCACTTTAAAAATATTTTTGGCACTCTTTGAGCTTAAAGGCAAGTGTTTTAATTCTAACTGCCTGATCTTATTGTTTAACGAAGTACTGAAGAAGACTGCCAGCCATTCAAGAATTCTTTACCTAGAACTGTGGTTCTCAACCCTGACGTCCTAGACACTGACATGCTTTCTGACGAAGCAGTAAAGGGGGTTGAGTCCTAGACAGCACGTCAGCAATTGTGCACACCAATAGACATTCTAATGGGATTGTATTACATTTCTAAACATCCTAGTCATGCAAAAGCTTATACAGTTGTTCATCTTAGAAGTTCTTCTTTCTCCCTTTAGTAGTTTTTCAATTAGAAAATGCCAAATGCATAGGAATGAAAATTAGTATATTGGGATTTATAAGTGAGGTCAATAATACCAGAAACTAATACAAAATAATATTGACTATAAACTGTAATTGAAAAATAATTTTTAAAATATTTTTACTGATTTTAGAAAGGAAGGGAGAAGGAGAGAGAGAGACAGAAACATCAGTGATGAGAGAATCATTGATCAGCTGCCTCCTGCACGCCCCCTACTAGGAATCAAGCCCACAACCTGGGCATGTGCCCTTGACCAGAATCGAACCCAGGACCTTTCAGTCCGCAGGCCGCACTATTCACTGAGCCAAACCTGCTAGGGCAAAAATAATTTTTTTAAGTTGAAAAAAAGGAAGGGTTTTAGAAATAAAGTAAATCTTAAGTGGGCAGATGTCTGATATGTAATTAAGATAAAGGGGAATTTGCTCCAAAAGGTGTGAGCAAAAATGGAAGTGGCCATAATATTTTTCAGGAAGAATGATTGGCTTGTGGTGGTAGAGGTTCAGTGCCAGAAAATAATAAGTGATACATTTTGAAAATAATCTAAGGACAGATTTCTTAAGAAGGACATTGATGCTCGTTGGATAACAATATTTCTCCAGGCATCATCTCATATGCTACTCATAATAACCCTCTAGTGTTATCTACTCTAGTATTACATTATCCAGTTAACATCAAATTCTATTTTTTACTCAATAACTGTTCTGAAAAATAAAGCTTAATATTAAAATATTTATGCAGTCACGTTTGCTTGTTTCTTTTTATCTACTCCATATGTAGGAAAACCATGTGCCTTGTTTTGCTCACCTGTTGGAAAAGAACAGCCTATTCTTCTGTCAGAAAAAGTGATGGATGGAACTTCTTGTGGATATCAGGGACTGGATATCTGTGCAAATGGCAGGTGTCAGGTAAGACGGTCTAAAAGGGAGAACATATATGCTGAAAGGGGGCTGTGGGACCCCTGAGCAGCTGCCCAGTACAGCGGAGAGCTTTGCCCTAAGATTCAGAAGATGTGGATGTTGTCCTGACTCAACTGTGATCTTGATCAAGTCTGATCTACTTTGTATAATGTAGGGTGTGGACTAGATAATCTATATTATCCTTTACTAGTGGAAAGAATATGAGATTTTTATTTTGTTAGTACTTATTATAGGTCTAAAATTGTAACACTTTGGTCATTTTAAGTCAAAACATTGCAGACCAAAAATTCAAGCACTCCAGTTCTCCATGTCTGATGTCCAAGACTGAGCCATGTCATAAAAACTAAAGTCAATCCTACTACTCATTTAATATGAAAGCACTTTATTTTTTAATGGCTTTTTTATTGATTTTTAGAGGGAAGGGTCGAGAGAGAGAGAGAAACATTAATGTGAGGCACATTTATTGCTTGCCTCTTGTACACACCCCAACTGGGGATCAAACCCATAACCTGGTCATGTGCCCTGACCAGGAATTGAACTGATGACCTTTTGGTGCATGGGATGATGCCCAGCCAACTGAGCCACACCAGTCAGGGCTGAAAGCATTTTAAATCCTATATAACAAAAGCCTAAAATGCTAAGTGTCCTGTCGGCCGTTCAACCTCAAAGTGTAATGTTTTAATGATATGCTAAGGTCGCTCAACCGCTCGCTATGATGTGCAGTGACCACTAGGGGGCAGACACTCCAACCAGTCGCTTAGCTTGCTGCTGGGGACTGAGTGAATTGGGCCGGACACACCCTGGAGCCCTCCTGCGGTCCCTCCCAGGCTGGCCAACCTCCTGTGTCCCTCCCTGGCCCCGATCGTGTGCCGGTGGGGTCCCTCAGCCTGGCCTGCACCCTCTCACAATCTGGGACCCCTTGGGAGATGTTGAAGAGCCGGTTTCGGCCTGATCCAGCAGGCCAGGCTGAGGGACTCCACTGGTGCACTAATTCGTGCACTGGGCCTCTAGCCTACATAATAAAATCCTAAGTGACCATTACAGCAGAATGAATGGAACAACCGGTTGCTATGATATGCACTGACCACCAGGGAGCAGACGCTCAATGCAGGAGCTGGCCCAGCCGTGGGCAAACTACAGCCCGCGGGCCGGATCCAGCCCGTTTGAAATGAATAAAACTAAAAAAAAAAAAAAGACCGTACCCTTTTATGTAATGATGTTTACTTTGAATTTATATTAGTTCACACAAACACTCCATCCATGCATTTGTTCCGGCCCTCCGGTCCAGTTTAAGAACCCATTGTGGCCCTCGAATCAAAAAGTTTGCCCACCCCTGGTCTAGGAGCTGGCCCCTGGTGATCAGTGCGTTCCTACAGGGGGAGTGCTGCTCAGCCAGAAGCCAGCTGCCAAGGCGTCGGGAGCCTCTCCCGAGGCTGCAGCAGCAGGCACAACAGGCCGTGATGAGTGCGAGTAGCGCCCGGCCCCAATTCGGGCCCCTCTCTGCCCGCCTGCCGCTTGGCACTGCTACCTCCCTCGGGGGATGTTGGCAGTTGGACATCCCCAAGGGATCCTGGACTGCGAGAGGATGCAGGCCTGCCTGAAGGATGCCCCCCTCCCCACCAGTGCACGAATTTCGTGCACCGGGCCTCTAGTTTTCTTATAACACTTAAACATTTCATTTGCCTCTGTCTTCCTTTTGTTAAATTTTAATTAAATTTATTGGGGGGTTACATTATTAATAAGATTATATAGGTTTCAAGTGTATGATTCTATGATACATCATCTATATATTGCACTGTGCACACCACCCACAGTCAAATCATCTTCCATCACTATATATTAACCCTCTTCACATTTTACTACCCTCCCAGCCCCCTTTCCTCTGATAACCACCATACTGTTGTCTATGTCTATGCGTTTTTGTCTGTTTGTTTTCTTAAATATATTTTATTGATATTTTACAGAGAGGAAGGGAGAGGGATAGAGAGTCAGAAACATCGATGAGAGAGAAACATCGATCAGCTGCCTCCTGCACACCTCCTACTGGGGATGTGCCCGTAACCCAGGTATATGCCCTTGGCTGGAATCAAACCTGGGACCCCTCAGTCCACAAGCTGACGCTCTACCCACTGAGCCAAACCTGTTAGGCCTGTTTGTTTTCCTTGTTTGTTCATTTGTTGTTTTCAGTTTTATATCCCACATAAGAGTGAAATTATTAACTTTTGCTGTCTGATTTATTTAATTTAGTATGGTGTTTTCAAGAGCCATCTGTATGATCTTCATCTACTGCATGCATACGTGTGCTCCTCTTCATTTATCATTAGAAAGGTAGCAGTTCTGTCAAAGTGAGGATGAGAAGCACAGTGGAAAGAACCAAGGCTAGAATTAGATAGTTACAGCTCTGCCACTGCCTCAGGTTGGCTTCCCTGGGAGATTAATGTGCAGGATGTTTAATGGCACGTGTTTTCATGATAAACATTTATGTGGGGAACGACAGGAGGCAGGATTGGGCCCGGGGAGAACTTGGGCCGGAGTGCAGTCACAAGACCTCAGCTGACAACTTCAGAGTTGTCCCCATTTGGGGTGGGAAAAGGCTCTTTTTACCTGCAGCATCTACGAGCATTTGGACGCAAACTGTCTTTGGAGAGAATGTGACCTTGGGAAATGAAGTTTTCTTCAGACTAGGTAATTTCTGAAAAGGGTTGGTGGCTGAGAGCATCTGAGTGGAGCAGCGCTGAATCCATGACAGCCACTAGGAAACTGTTCTTGGGAAAAGCACTTGATAGGCATGCATCTGTGTACTACTCCGCAAAATGAAGTTGTTGGACCAATGGTCATTGCTTTTTGTGTGCAATACACTCCTTTGAAAATCTGATAGAAAGTGTCCTTTTCCCTGCCACATACGCTCACACACCAAAATTTGAAAACAATTGCAAGCTATTGATGGATCAGTCTGGTTCGATAGAAGTCTATGGACTTCTGGATAAAAACTTGAAAACAACATGAAACTTAAATGCTTCACCAGCTCTGAGATTCCGTACTTTTCCAGGATGCTATAAAGTTTAAAGCGCAGAATCATGTACTAACATTGACATAAGAAATGGTTTTTAAATTACATATTAATTTCCTTTATTCTTTAACAGAATATGGCAATAATGTAAAATGTATTTTTTCATTTATATGTAAAAATAAGTCATTGCAGATACTTCTCCATATTTGTTTTCAGAATTAAAATTATGTATGTTGTATAATTAAAGCTTTTAATTTAATTGTCATTGCATGTAAATCTGTCAGACTATTGTATGTCTTAAATGAATTTACTTTTCAAGAAAAAATTTTCCAACTATATATGCCACATACAATAGCCTAAATTACTATGCTTCTCATTTAGCAATGTTGTGTAAGCCAGATCTTTTACAGAGTTCCTAGCTAGACATTAAAATTACAGCAACAACAAAAAAAGTATGCATAAGTGCTATGAGACTCTGATGATTAGAATTACACTAAAGTCCTATGAAATGGATTTTGACTTCTAACAGCTTTGGAGTACTTCAAGATTCTGGCTTTTTAACTAAAATGCTTCATTCAGTCTTTCAGTATAATTAAAAACATGTTCTCCCTCCCCCTTCTCTGCCCCCCCCCCACCCCCACACACACACAATCTTCTATATGTTGGGTTTGGCTTGAATGTCTTGTTTTATCACAAAATGCTTAGTCCCGAAGCTGAATATAGAATTTTCAACTTGGTGAGTGGACTAAGGAGGGCAATTGAAAATAGCTTTCTCCCAGCGACATTTCCATCATGGCAAAGGGTAGGGAAAGCTCGACCTCCTTAGGACCTCGTTACCCCTCCGTCTCCAGCAGCCAGTGGCATCTCAGGTACGCATCACCACTTAAACAGCATTGCCTTTTCAAAGTCATCCATTTTCAACGCTTGGAGTTATGTGAGCATATTTTGACAAGCGTGGGTATTTGAGACTACAGATTACAAAATATGAAATTCTTGCTTCTTATCTTAAAAAAGGCACGATTATTGAGCCATGGCATATGTCTATCCCAGACTTTTATTTTAGGTTTACAGACATGTAATATTCCAGTTATAAGGGTTAGACAAAGGAGAAATTATTAAGTACTAATTTATTCAATTTTCAAAGTACTATTTATTGGGTTTATTGTATTTGCCAGGGTATAAGCTGGGGGCTAGGGACAGAACAATAAAGGTGCTTTCGTTATTTCAAAATCACTCTAGAACAGTGGTTCTCAACCTTCCTAATGCCGCAACCCTTTAATACAGTTCCTCATGTTGTGCTGACCCCCAATTTCATTGTTACAAATTGAACATAATTAAAGCATAGTGATTAATCACAAAACTATGTAATTATATATGTGTTTTCCGATGGTCTTAGGCGACCCCTGTGAAAGGGTCGTTCGACCCCCAAAGGGGTCGCAACCCACAGGTTGAGAACCGCTGCTCTAGAATCTACTCTAATTTTTTTGTCATTTGTATATGAAAGAGATATTTTTTACTCACCCCAGGACTCCCAAGTCTTTTCATGGCTCTGCTTAGTGAAGTTCTCCCATACCTTGGTTGTGTTTTGAGAATTTCCCGTGGTGGCCACCTCTTTCATCTGGAGACATTCCCTTTATTCCTCTCTGAATAAACTTTCATTTGCTGGTCAGAGTTTTCTGCTGATGTGTTGCATTGTCTACCTCTTGACATGGATACAGTCCTTGACACAGGAAGGATGCTGTATTATGCAGGTTTCATGTGGTTTTTGCTCTCAGGATGTTTACCCTGCAGCTGCATGTTATCTGCCGGCTTCCCTCACTGTAACACCACCAACACCAGCCACAGCAAAAGACCCTGCTTCTGTTTCTGTTTTATTAATATTATTTAAATCCCTCTAAAGTAATTGTAACTTATAAATGGATGTATCCTCAGTCCATCTTGCAACTCCTATTTAGCGATAAGATCCTACTATTTATTTCTGACAGCGTTGATAATGATAAATTCTGTCCTTTGAATATGCACAACTTTGCACAATGTTGTTATATTTTCTGCACATGCACGGGAGACCAACATTATTCACTAGAAAAGAGTCAGTGATTTAATCTCAGAAGATTTGTATTAACACCATTTTTCTGGAAGTATATAAATATAATTCCCCTGTGGTTTATATTTTCTTACAGCAGCCACATTTGTGTGCTGGATGCCAAAGAAGACAGGGATAGAAGTTTATTCATGAACTGTTGTGAAAATAAACATTTATTTGCTTTTCAAAATAATTAATATTTAATGTTCAATATTTACTTTGAAACGTTAGAAGTGAAGCCATCCATATAATATAGTATATCTATTTTTGAGTAGAGTGATTTAGATTAATTATGTTTAATAGAAATGTCACTGCCTTTGGGATTTATGTAAATTGCATTTGTTTCAATAATACTTTATCAAATTGCTTTAGGATAGCATTTAATTTTAATAAAATAAAAATATTCTCATCACTATTCTGCTATTGGATCACTTTTAGATAATATTTGACATGAGCTTGCTGTATTGGTTTGCACCAGAGAATATGACATTTTACTAGTTTGTCAATTATATATGTCTAGTTTGTAGAGACTAGGCTTGTCCTAAATTAGAGTTAAAAAAGAAAAAACTCACTTTATGATGTACTGCTATTCTTTTGTTACAGAAAGTCGGCTGTGATGGTTTTTTAGGGTCTCTTGCAAGGGAAGATCATTGTGGTGTATGTAATGGCAATGGGAAATCGTGCAAAATCATTAAAGGAGATTTCAACCACACCAGGGGAGCAGGTGAATATATTTTTATATTTTCAAAATTAATAATTTGAACAATCTTTGGGGACAGAGATTACATTGAACTTGACTTAGAAATCGCAGTTCTGAGTCTATTGAAGACTTTGTAATGGGTATTGAATGATTTTTCACGATGACATACAATACATGTGATATGAGCCAGAAATTCTAACAAGCCCATTTCCCAATAATGAAAATATGAAGTCATCTGTTGTGCATTTAATAAATTGGAGCAGCAAGGGAATAATCTAATTTGCATTGGCAAATGTTATCAGGTTTCCACAGGCCTTATTCTCCAATGCAAAGCACAATGTCTCACAGAGAGTAATGATTTGTAACAGCCTGAAGCAACTATTCAGAGTATTAGACTTCAGGTTTTCAGCTTTCCATTGTCTTTATTTTTTCTTAACGTTTTTACTAAATTTGAAGGGAATACATTGTTGGAAATAGAGAGTCTGTAGCAGTGTAGCATGGTGGAAACAATAACAACGGGGAGTCAGAAGATGAGGGATGGTGTTCCTGATATATTAGTAGTGAGAAGCCACCCTCTATTCTTTTGTTCTCTCATCTATAAATACTAATACTCAGGGGCTATGAGGATGAAATGAATATGGTTGATCTATATCATGTGAGTTTTAAAGTGATCCACAACAAAAAGTAATGTACTAGTAACCTATACTGAATATCATGACCCACATATATACTTTAGAAACATCAAATGCTTTACACTCAGGTCCTCAAGCTTACTGGGAGGGAGCACATATTTCTGTGTTTACATTAGTTCAATAGGTAGATGTCCACTGGACATCTACCTATTGAACTATCTTATTATTTGTGATTATATTTTCATCATCTTTAGGATGTACATATTACATATATTAGCTTTTTCCTATTTTAAATTTCTTTCTTGGTCAAATACCAAAAACCCTGAGACTAAAATACATATTCGTTTTAATACAAAAACAAGCCATTTGTTTTTGAATGATCAAGAAAACTGAGTTCATTCTAGATAAAGGAATCCTTCAGAAGAGAATATTAGACACAGCCCTCTGAAGTCGAATGTAAGCATTTGCTAGGCCCTAGCAGAATAAAAGATAACATGAACGCAAGATTTTGAAGCCTAACCATAACCAAGGTCCAGGGTGAGGTGCAGATCAAGACCTCAGTCTCCAAAGCTGTGAAACGGGGGCCTGTGAGTCAAAATCTGCCATAACCCACTTAGAAAATTCTAAAGCTGTGACAGCTCTCAGACTTTCAGCTAAGAAGTTCAGATATAATAACTTTTTCAGCCTGATTTGGTGGCAGAAATATTTGTAGTGCAGAAGGTCAAACGAAGCCTGAAAGACTAAAGATGTAAAGACACTAAAATTTTTGAAGAATCTTCTTGCATAGTTATTTAGCATGCATGGGAACAGTTCACTGAAGAATACTGATGCACACTCAGCACTGATATCTTTCATTCTATTAACACTTGATTTTTTCACCAAGCATAGAAAAGAGAAATACTAGTTAACCAACCAGTAATGTTTATCATTCTGACTGCAGTTATGTGAGTACACTTTTCCAGATTCCTATTTTGAAAATTGTTTGTTTTTATTGCACTTTAATTTTGTTCGTTTGTTTGTTGGTTGTAGGTAAGCTACATTAAAGGCATCTGTTATTTGGAAAATGTCTGAGATTCCTAAGATATTGGAATTATCAGAGACTAATAATATTACTTTCTCCCTTAAACTCTATGCCAGTTTCACGTGGCTCACAAGAAAGAGATGGGAATTCTTAACTTGGACCATATGAATGGTTCTGCATGGTGTGGTCTCTACCTGTCTCTCCAGCAACATCTGTCATTAAGGTCCCTTTCCTTTTGTAAGCTACGGCCACCAGGTTTCTTTTAGATTCTCCTATTAACTTTGTTCCCTCCAGCACCTTGCAGTTAAAAATATGGTTGTTAGCTTTGCCTGGTTAATTCCTAGCCATCACTTAGATCTCAGTGCAAGTGTCACTTATGCATTGAAGTGTTCCCTGAATAGCCTCCACCTCCTAGCACTAACAAACATTATCATAGTCATATTCAAATTCATATTCATTCATATCTATATGGTGTAACTCTATTCACATTTGTAATTGTACATTCATTAGTCTTTACTTTCCCACTTTAAGGTCAATGAGAAAAAAATATCCTGGCTATTTTTGTCCAGGCCCAGATTCTCAATGACAGGCACTGTGTCTGATTCTTTGTTAATTTAATTAACAATGAAACATTACATTATTAAGAACTTTAAAAAACAAAGTGAGTCCTTAATTATATCACAGGCTTCATTTACTTGTGAATTTAGGAATGCTGTGTTCATTTCTCTTGAGACAATTTTATCCTTACGGTTTATGGACTTCCTAGAATTTCTTGAAGGAATTGCAGCCTTTTTTGGTCCAGTTGGCCATGCACACTGTATATGTTGTATGAGTAACACATGTGCAGACACATGTGGGTGTTTCGGTCCCTGTGCTCTATTTAGAGTTTGCTTAGTCATTTTTGTTGGAGCTAGAAAATAAACTTAAAAGGAGTTCATTTTTTTTTCTTGTACATTTATCATGTCCTTCATTATAACTTGCCTAGCTAGGAGATAATTTTTTAAAGGAATTTTTAAAGGTAAATTGTGTATTTGGCCAATTGTGGAACTAGGTAGTTATCAGTATACACTAAGAAGAAATGGGCATAAAATGTGTTCTTCTTAGTATAAGAGCTAATGATACTGATTCTGTGTAAGGAACACAGCTCTTAGACCGTTTGTTTGTGTGTTTGCCAGGAGAGTAGGAGTGTTATAGTGCCATATATTCTATTTTATAAAATAGTAGCAGTGGGTCATAGCAGGAAGTGCACAGTGGAATCAGACAGATCTGAGTTAAAAGCTTGGGTCAGCTAATTACTGAATATGGTTGTTAGTGCTAGGAGGTGGAGGCTATTCAGGGAACACTTCAATGCATCCCTTGAAAAAGGGATGAAGCCCATAATATAATTAAGGTCTCATGCAGACTTTTTTTTCTGCCTAAATTTATTTTCTCATCTATTATGTGAGAAATGTAATATTAAAACAATGGTACCTTGGATGTTATCATTATGATTAAATGCAGTAATTTATGTAAATTACCCATAATAGTGACTAGCACATAGTGTTGCTCAAAATATGGCATTTTTCATTATTACTTACCATGAAAATAATGATTGCTATTAGAATTTTAAGATGGCTGATTAATAATGGATCTCTGGCTATAAAATAGGATGGGATTTTCCTATGTAAAAAGCAAGCTGTCACAACATGAGGACACAATTTATAACAACGTTGTCACAAGCATTATTTCAACTTCTAAGCTCAGTGGTAACCACTCTCAGATTCACTTCTTTAAAAAATGTACAATATCGTCCTAACCGATTTGGCTCAGTGAATAGAGTGTCAGCCTGTGGACTGAAAGGTCCCAGGTTTGATTCCGGTCAAGGGCATAAACCTTGGTTGCGGGCACATCCCCAGTAGGAGGTGTGCAGGAGGCAGCTGATCAATGTTTTTAACTCTCTATCCCTCTCCCTTCCTCTCTGTAAAAAATCAATAAAATATATATTTTTAAAAAATGTACATTCTCAATTGTGCTAAATGGCTTATTTACTGAAAAATATCTAGGCCCCCAGTCATTAGCTACCTTTTTTCAAATGTCTTTGCTTAATATTTTTCTTCCTCTCTTTAAACTCAGTTTAACTCACCTATCCTCCAGCCCATTCCAATCAAATAACAGAAAATTGCTCTGGATATAACTGTAAACTTAGCTATAACTATTGTCCTAATTTACAACATACCTTTGCCTTTACTGCTAAACCCAGTTACTACCTCCACTTGCTGCTACCCAGTCTTTTTCTTAAGCATCCTGACATTTAGCATCTCCAGACACATAGCTGAATTCATGTACTGAGAGATTAACAGTCATCTCTTGATTGTGACATCCGGGCCCAATCTCCTTTATCACTTTTCTCTTCGATGTTGCTACAATTTATGATGCAATTGACCAACCACTCTTCTTGAGATATTCTAATCCAAAATAGCCAGATCTCCTCCTTCTCAAGATTATTCCTTCTCTATATTCTTTCCTGATTTATTTTTAACCTCTGTCAGTAGGTTAGAGTATCATTCCCCAGATGCCAAGGTTGCAGGTTCGATCCCCAATCCCTGATCAGGGTACATGCAAAAGTCAAACAAGGAATGCATAAATTAGTGCAATAACAAATCAATGTTTCTCTCTTTGTCTCTCTCTAAAAATCAATATATAAAAATTAAAAAACACACACACAGATTTTTCCATTTATAACCAAACAAACATAAAAACATCTCTTGCCAGTGGTTCTGTCGGTTGGAGTGTCATCCCATGTGCCTGAAGGGTTGTGGGCTTAATTCCTGGCTTTCAGGTTCCATCCCCAGACGGGGTGCATGCGGGAGGCGGCCAATCAATGTCTCTCTCTCACATCTATGTTTCTCCCTCCTCCCTCTCTCACTCTAAAATCAATAAAAAAAACAAACACATCCTCGTGTGAGGATTTTAAAAAAGCCCTACTATGACTGTCACCATGTGGAGTTCTTGACTTCTCTCTCGATTTTCTCCACTTACTTTCATGGCTTAAATGATTATCTCTGCAAAGATGCCTCCCAAAGGGACTTCAGTTGTCTGACCTTTTTCTGGAGTTCCACATGGTCAGAGTTCTTACTGGATATTTGTACTAGTGTGTTACACCATTTTGTTAAATACAAATTCCAAAGCTGAGTTTATGATTCTTATCACAAGTTGACGTCCACTGACTTGTAAGCAATGGCCCCATTCTCACATAAGTAATAATAAAGCATTGAGTTGAGTGTTTGTTTTCCCACTTTCTATTGGTTCTCAAGTTCAGAATTCTTTTTTTCCCCTTCAAATGCCTTCAGAAATTACTACCTTGGCCTCTACCATTCTTGGGTTTTTACATTAGACTTCTGACACTGTTATCCACAACTGCATTGCTGGGTCTCCTGCATCCTGCTGTCGGATAAAGCCTTTCAAGCCAGTATCTGATTACCAAAGATAAAGCCTCTAACCAGTATCTCATTACCAAGTTGCTTGCTATAGAATATTCTGTCGCTGCAAATTGAAAAATTCAGTGCCCAGGGCATAAACTCTCTTATTCTGTCAGAATTATTTTATTCATGTGTTCCTGAGGATACCACTTGTTCCTTTACTTTTTTTTAAGTAGTAGTTTTAAAAATATATTCTATTGATTTTTTTTTAGAGAGAGAGGAAGGAAGAGGGAGAGAGAGAGAGACAGAAAACCAATAAGAGAGAAACATCATTGTTTGGCCGCCTCCTGCACACCCTCTACTGGGGATCGAGCCAGAAACCCTGAAATGTGCCCTGACCAGGAATGGAACCTGCAACCTCATAGTGCATGGGTAAATGCTCAACCACTGAGCCATACTGGCTGAACTCCTTTACTTTTCTTTACATACAGTGAACTCCTTTTTCCTTTTTTTGAATTCCTTTTTCTATATCTACCCATATCCTATCTGTTCTTCAAAGATATTTCATCTACTTCTTTGTGAAGCTTTCCTTGACTATAAAAATTGTTTTCTCCTCTGAGTCATAGTGATTCCGGCTGAAGTCAGTGTTTCTCAAACATGAGTAATGTATCTCACCATTTACAAGGGAAAAATAAAAAGTAAATCCCACTTTTGTGAGTTAAAAATAGCAGCAAACCTTTTGAGTGGTGATGTGATCAGAGAGGAGGGGGCAGTTTAAACCACATGATTTATATTCTTTAGCAGGGAGTTAACCATAACATTTTGCATATGATCTTTTAAACTTAATTTTTGAAGTTTTATTTAACTTATATTTATATAAGGTATTTCTGCCTTATCTTTCCTATTCAGTTGAGTGCAGAGACCTTCCTACCTTACTTCTGTGTACAGATAGGCAGTAAGCATTTGTTTCTATTTTCATTGCTGTCTATTTGTTCATGTAACAAAAAGATAGTGCCTGTGTGGTTTGGTGTTACTAGCAATGGTTAGATTGAGTAAATAGCGTTAGCTAATGGAAATTATGATTCTAAAAAACATAATTCCAGCTACTGCCACCAGGTGGGGCATATGCTACCTTTCAATATATACCAAATACAAGAAACACTTTCAGGAATTTGAATAATTAATCAACAGCAGACAACTCTGAGATTAACTTTGAAATTAGACTTCTATCAGATATATGAAGCTACACAAATATACTAAGAAAAATATTAAATATTGCAATAAATTTATGTATCTATTTATTTTTAAATTTATCTTTATTGTTGAAAGTATTACAGATGTCCCCTCTTTTCCCAATTAACCACCCCCTCGAACTTGAAGCCACGCCCCCCCCCTCAGGTTTTCACCACAGTATTGTCTGTGTCCATGGGCTGTGCATGTATGCATATAAGTTCTTTAGTTAATCTCTCCCCACCCGTTCCATCCCCATCCCCGCCTTTCCTCTGAGATTTGTCAGTCTGTTCCATGCTTCTATGTCTTTGGATCTATTTTGTTCATCAGTTTATTTTGTTCATTAAATTCCACATATGAGTGAATATAAGTTTAAAGCTAAAAAGTTATCTATACTATTCTTTATTAAATGAAGTCTTGATTTTTACCTTTTCTGCACATTCTCTCTTCTATCCCACATTATCTGATCTTATTTCACTTCAAGCTTTATATTCCTAAAATTCTGCTGAAAACCTTTCCTAAAAAAGAGCTCATTGTGCTTTGTTTCTAGCTGTCGGACACCTTCCTAGGTGACCCTAGATTGCTTGGTGTGGCCTTACACCTACTTGTCTTGATCCCCGGTTTCACAACCCTTTGTGAGTCTCCTCAGGGAGAGGTTGGTGCTCAGCTACTCCCGGGACCTGGTGTCCTGCCAGCTGCAGTTCCTTCTTCCCTGCACTTTCTAACTTAAATGAGGTCCCTGAGCGGAATCTGAGGCTATTTGCTCTGTTCTAAGATCCACGGTGTTTCTACCTGGGCTGTCCCTTTGTGCTTTTTCTCTTCTCACCATTCGTATAGTGAGTTTGACATAAAATGTAATTGTCTGTTTGCCCTTGATAGTGCTGTAGACTGAACATCTTCTCCATTTGAAATGATGACAGCTTTTGTACTTAAGTTTTTTCTTCCCATAGGTATGGAAATATCGAAGCGAAAATCAAAACCAAAAAAAATGAAACGGCAAGTCAACTAAGAAAAGAGATCTCCTAAGAACTTGAGATTTACTTCATGATTTGTTAACTCTCGCAGGTTATGTGGAAGTGCTGGTGATACCCGCCGGGGCACGAAGAATAAAAGTGGTGGAGGAGAAGCCGGCCCACAGCTATTTAGGTAACCGGGGCTACGGACACAGAGCCCATCCAAGGACGAGCCGGCTCCCTGCCCTGGGAGTTCGATGATGACGAGGATGTCAATCTGTTTCTAGCTTTATGTGTGGATTTCCCAGGAAGCACCTTTTGTCATAGCAAGTAGAAGTTTCTTTCAAGGACTCCCCAGGAGCAAAAGCAATCTGGTTGTCTGTATGTTTGGGAGGGGTGTGAATTGCTTCCACATGTTAGTTCATGTTAAAAACAACAACAACAACACACTCATTGGAGGATTTGGGTATGTTTTATTTCATAGGTATGCATTTGTATAAAACATTTCATAAATATATTTATTTCATATACACACACACATATACACGTATTTATATTACTTGCATAAGTAAGTGCATATATTCCTGTGTGTATGTGTAATGATTACTTTTGAATTAGGAAATCTTGTGGGATGCTTTAAAAAATCTCTATATACTGAAAGGACTTAATATTTTAATGGGAAATAATGCTCTTTTTTTGCCTCACCTATGTAGAGAGTATTTAAACTTTTTAATTATTACTTATGGAAAGAATTCTATGAGCTATTTTAATTAGGCCAATTAAAAATGGTTTTTATTTAATGGTTTTTAAATATATGAAAGAAAATAGTAAATTGTCAAAATACATATTGCTTTGTATGTTCAAATTTCAAACTAAGTCATATGAAGTGATCTTTTATAGTCGTGGCATCACAGGTAGAGAAATCTAATATGATTAGGTCTGACAAAAACCATAATATTCTCCCCAAATTTAAACATTGTATTTATAATACCTTTTTAAAAAGCCTGCCTATTTTTTCTTAACAAAAAAAATGTCCCCATTATTCTTTTTCAAATAAGAAGTATCCTAATAGGGAAACACTTTGTACATGATTTAAAAAATCCAATATTATGTGATTGTTTGTATTCTACAATATTGAAAATTATCTGCACTCAGATTGAATTATTTTTCTTATTAGGGTTTGCTTTCTAAGAGTAGGGAGGTTTGAGGAAAGGGGACAGTAAAATAAATCCTTTGTTATGTGACACACTCAGATTATTTTTACTAATATTTAAATTTTGTTTTTACCACCTATGATTTTAAAATGCATTTTAAATGCAAGTAAATCATCCCAAATGTCCAAATTCAGATTAAAGCTCTAATAACCAGTTTTTGGAGACACTGAAAACTAGACAATTTCAAAATATTCATTCAATAGTAGACCTTTGGCTATTACACTGGGGAATATGTGTGTGTGTTTTCCCAAGCTGGAAAGGAATATAGATGTCTCAAATGGAGTTATCTCAAATTCTACAAAATTACATTGTATTATGATTTTTTCTTTTTTTAAAAATTAAATCTTTATTGTTCAGATTATTACAGTTGTTCCTCTTTTTCCCCCCCATAGCTTACCTCCACCCAGTTCCCACCCCCCCCTCTGCCCTTACCCCCGCCACTGTCCTCATCCATAGGTGCACGATTTTTGTCCAGTCTCTTCCTGCACCCCCCACACCCCTTTCCCCCCGAGAATTGTCAGTCCACTCCCTTTCTATGCCCCTGATTCTATTATATTCACCAGTTTATTCTGTTCATCAGATTTTTTATCACTTGATTTTTAGATTCACTTGTTGATAGATGTGTATTTGTTGTTCATAATTTGTATCTTTACCTTTTTCTTCCTCTTCCTCTTCTTAAAGAATACCTTTCAGCATTTCATATAATACTGGTTTGGTGGTGATGAACTCCTTTAGCTTTTTCTTATCTGTGAAGCTCTTTATCTGACCTTCTATTCTGAATGATAGCTTTGCTGGATAAATAATCTTGGTTGTAGGTTCTTGGTATTCATCACTTTGAATATTTCTTGCCACTCCCTTCTGGCCTTCATAGTTTCTGTTGAGAAATCAGCTGACAATCTTATGGGTACTCCTGTAGGTAACTAACTGTTTTTCTCTAACTGCTTTTAAGATTCTCTCTTTGTCTTTTGCTCTTGGCATTTTAATTATGATGTGTCTTGGTGTGGTCCTCTTTGGATTCGTTTTGTTTGGGGTTCTCTGCACTTCCTGGACTTGTAAGTCTATTTCTTTCAGCAGGTAGGGGAAATTTTCTGTCATTATTTCTTCAAATAGGTTTTCAATATCTTGCTCTCTCTCTTCTTCTGGCACCCCTATAATTCGGATGTTGGTTCGCTTGAAGTTGTCCCAGAGGCTCCTTACACTATCTTGATATTTTTGGATTCTTTTCTCTTTTTGCTTTTCCGGTTGGGTGTTTTTTGCTTCTTTGTATTTCAAATCTTTGACTTGATTCTTGCGATCCTCTAGTCTGCTGTTGGATCTCTGTATAATATTCTTTATTTCAGTCAGTGTATGCTTACTTTCTAGTTGGTCCTTTTCCATATCCTCGAGGGTCTTACTAGATTTATTGTGGGTCTCACTAAATTTATCGGCGGTTTCTAGAAAATTCTTGAGAAACCTTATAACTATGGTTTTGAACTCTATATCCACTAGTTTGCTTTCCTCCAAATTTCTGTCATTTGTGACCTGTTTCTTTGTCTCCACATTTCGGCTGCTTCCCTGTGTTGATAGAGTGGCTTTCTGTGCTAGGTGTCCTATAGGGCCCAGTATTTCAGCCTCCCCAATTACCTGAGGTGGACACTCTTGGTGCACTTCTTTGTGGGCTGTGTGCACAGTCTTGTTGTAGTTAAGCCTTGATTGTAGTTGGTATCACTGTGAGGAATTGACCTCCAGGCCAATTGGCTGTGAGAATCAGCTGTGTCTGCAGTGGGAGAACTTCTGTGCTAGAGACACCCTTGGGGGCAAGACTTGTTTCAGTGGGGCTTTGGTGCTCACTGTGTCTGCCCCCTGAGTGTGTCCCTCATGGATCTGAGGAGTTGTAATCTGGATGGTCCCACACTGACCACTGGGTACACTGGCACTTGCATCTCTGAGGAGGTGCTAATTTAGCCTCGGCTTGAGTCTACCCAGCAGGAGCTAAGGAGAGATCTGCAAATTCCTCTTCTTTGTTTGGGATTTGGAGGTGCCCAGATGAGGCCTAGCTGTGAAGCAATGCAAGCTGCTGTGGGGCCTTGGACCTTCTTTTGGATGTTCTAGATCTCTCTGACCCAGCTGCAGTTTGTTAGGTAATTTTAGATTGCAAAGGGCCAGGTCATTCATATGCAAAAGCCTCTGTGCACAGATTGGGTGGGGCAGGGTCTCAGGAAATCAACAGGGCGGAGCAAACAGCTATGGCTGATCCTCAACCCTGCCCTTAGAGATCCTGGGTCTCAGTGTCTTGTGGTAACTGCTGCAAGCACCTCTGAGAGAAAGCCGCCCTTGAGTTCCGCCCGCTGCCAGACAGTCCAATTTCTCCCTGTATGAGTCTGGGTCCCCAGAGACTAGCCTGAAACTGGAGTTCAGAGCAGGAGCATGTGTCTCCCTCCAGACTGAAAAAGACAACCGCATACTTAGTTGCCAGCCCTTTCCGCACGTGCCTCTGTACCTCTGCACTTTACTTCCGTACTTCCTCTGAGTCTCAGTGTGCTTTTCTCTTTCCTTCTAGTTGTAGAATTTCCACTCAGCCAGCCTTCCTGTGGTTCTGGATGATGTCCGTTTTGTCTTTTAGTTGTATTTTTGAAGTGGTTGTGCAAGACAGCAATTTCGGGTGTTTACCTATGCCGCCATCTTGGTTTCTCTTGTATTATGATTTTTAAGAACCTGAAAATGTGGCTAAATACATAAGCTAGTTTTACAAATGGGAAATTTCCATGCTCTCTCTGATTCCTTACTTCCCAGGCTCTTCAACCAATCCAGGCTTTTTTCTGTCTCCACTCTACAGTAACTGCCTTGGTCAAGGTCAGCAAATGCCTTCCATATTGACAGCCCATGGTATTTGACCAATAAATAGGATCAAACACTGTTGACCTTCCCTCAGTTCATTAAATACTTTCTTCTTTTGGCTTCTAGGATCCTTACTGGTTTCTTTTGTAGGATTCTCAACCTCTGCATGCTTTTCAAATGTTTCTATACTGTGGGTTCAAGCCAGGCACCCGCTCTCCCCCCTGCTATATTGTATCCCTAGGAAATCCCATCTAGCTCCATTGCTTTCCATGTTTGTTTGATGCAGATTATCAAATGTCTCCTATGCACCTCAGAAATAATAAGTATAAATCAAAAATTTTATTTCCATCCCCTGCTGAAACCTCTTTCTCCTTTGGTTTTCCCCACTGTAGTAAATGTCACCCTATTAGTATTTTATGACTTCTGTAACAATTATCACAAACTTGTAGGTTTCAAAAATCAAAACAAAATGTATTTTCTCACAGTTCTGGAGGCCATAATTAGATGCAATGGACCAATATTGAAGGTGGCTGCAAAGCCATGCTCTCTCTGAAGATTAGGATACATCCTTGACCCTTCTAGCTTCAGATAACTATCAGCATTCTTTTGCTTGTGATAATATCTGCCTCCCTAGTGTCCCTAGTGTCAATGCCTTCTCTTCTTTTCCTGTGTTTAAACCGCCCTTTTCCTATCTCTTACAAGAATACACATTGATTGCATTTCAGGCCCACTTGGATAATATCCCCATCTCAAGACCTGTAACTTGATCATATCTGCAAAGTTTGTTTATTTGCCATGTAAGGTAACATTCTAGGTTCCAGGGATTCGGACATAGATAACTTTATTCCTTTCACTAACACTTTTTTAAAGAATTGTTTTGCCCTAACCGGTTTGGCTCAGTGGATAGAGCATCAGCCTGCGGACTCAAGAGTCCCAGGTTCAATTCCAGTCAAGGGCATGTACCTTGGTTGCGGGCACATCCCCAGTAGGGAGTGTGCAGGAGGCAGCTGATCGATGTTTCTCTCTCATCGATGTTTCTAACTCTCTATCCCTCTCCCTTCCTCTCTGTAAAAAATCAATAAAATATATTTTTTAAAAAAAAGAATTTTTTTATTGATTTCAGAGAGGAAGAGAGAGAGAGAGAGAGAGAGAGAGAGAGAGA